TTTGTTGCCAAAATATTCTTTTGGCTTGAAAAAATGTTTCTGCTTTTTTAAAAGTAATAGAGGTATTTAAGTTACGAATTTTCTTTAAAAGCAAAGCATTATTTCTTATAAATCGTTTACTGTTATCTTACTGAAATATGTGTTCGTCTTCTCTACATAAATCCGCGTATCAGCAATAAGTTGCACATGCTGCATACGGATTATTATATATTTGTATACATTCACGATAGCGCGAGTAGAAAAGTAATCATGGTTCTCTTCACACGTTTGGAGGAGCCAAACACGTAGCTGGCGCTTTCGAAGGCACACCCTTGATGTTTGCTTCGCCGATTGCGTGCTCGGCATTTTCCTCAGATACGCCGATATATTCCACCATTTTATCCCTAACCGAGATCCAATTTTCGGTATCCTCGAGAACTCGGGAAAGATTATAACAATAATATCCATTTTTTTAAATGTATAAAGAATCTGTCGGGTAGTTACTGGCAAAATACTTATTTTTCACAATTTGTGTATCTGTAAGATCATCCAGACAATATCTTGTTATCTATATAATACGAATATCGCTTGTACAAAAGTTGAGCAGTATATAACTCTGACAGTACTCTGATAAGAGAGCGTGTCGTCAATTCGTGAATCATTCGACATTAAGAAGTACGGCCGATTACAATGATGTACAATCGCGGGGTCGGAATTTCGTACGTATTATACACTCACGTGTGCCACTTCGTCTTTGCCGAAGTGGCTCCTTATCGCGAAGTTTGGGGCGTTGACGTTGATACGACGGCAGGATTTGAACGATCTCCCCTGTGCGCGAGAGGCAGGCAAACGGTCCCTACTGCTTCGGCTTAATCTGTTTAATCTGCCTAATCCGCTCCACGCCGATTCCGCACGCCGGTGCGAATGTAGCCCTTTATCTCCAGCACTCGACTATAGTAATTCATGCGTTACCAGCCCCCAGAGCGTGATCGCGGGTTACCCCCGAGGGAAAATTTGGATCTATCTCGTGATTTGAATGGTATTTTTCAACGGTCGAATTAGCACATGTTGTACGGAGGAAGCATTCACCAATGACTGAATTAAATTCGCGAATTAAATAAATATTTTTAAAAATTCTAAAAAATACAAAGACCATTTTTTCTGATGCAATGTGCGTTTTATCGATTATCATACTATACTATTATATTGTTGTACGTGATGTTACATTGACGATATAGTATGACGACGTTATTGCGCGATTTATGTTTTTCCGTGTCATCAATCTTGGCGAGATATATGGGCCTGACGATAATCGACATTATTCTGCTTTCGACACATGTGAAAGGGTATATCCCCCTAATTCAATTTCTGACATTTAAATTAATTTAGGACGCTGCACCATTTTCGGGTCGATTTAGCTAATTCGCCTCACGATGATTTGGCTCACCGCCGTAGACCTCAATTTATCCATATCCGTGGTCGGTGACTCATACTCCAGCACGTCCGCGCGCACACTAGCCTCAAGAGACACTAATTATCCCCACGTGGACAACCATACTCGAAGATAATTAACACGTTGCGCGCGTATTAGCCGTTCGCGTAAAATTGCATTCACGCGAGGTCAACATTAACAATTGATGATCGACCGGAATAAATATTGGCTACCTGCAAATGTTGGCTAGTTTCCATTGCATGTATTGTATATCTCGGATCGTGTTTAAGAAAATATCATCCGGCAAAAATTAATAATTTATTGAAAAGTACGTATAATCAGATAATTTAAATATCATTTTTATGCCATAATTTATTTTAATTTATTGAGAAAATTTATTTCAATAATGGTATCATAATATATTTTTGGTGTTACGCATAAAAATCTTTTAGAATTTGATAAATTTGATAATATATAAAGTAAAATTAATTCTTTTAAAATATTTTTACAGATACACACAAATTATATTATTTTCTGGAAAAAATGCATTTTCATATAATGTAATATTAAAATATTCTATTTTCTATATAATTATAATTATACATAATTATTACTACGACAATGCATTTTTTTACATTATTATTTTCATCAAAATATTTCTCGAGAAGAAAATTCCGAAATAAGAAAGATAAGAGATTCGACACGACTGACTCCAATATATAGATTGAATCTTTAATTACATATGCCCGAGAGATATTTACGTATATTATGCCACTTGAGAATAGCATTTGCACTGCGAGCTTTTACGAAATTAATTTTAAATCATGGTTTTATTTTGCTCGGTATAATTGGGTTAGCATGCAAATATGCCATCCCAAGAAAATATCCCGAGAAAATTCCGGATTAAATCTGTTATATTGTTATTTTTTAATTAAATTTTCCTTTTTCGCCTTAGTAACTTCCCTTTTTTTTACTTAAGGACTAAATATTTTAATCCTTTCACAGACGTTGGTATGCTACGTCGTATCTTCGCAAATGTAATTTTGTAAACGTGACCACAATAAATTTTGGCATTAAATTCGTTTACTGTTTCAAGGAATTTATTATGAGTTTCCAATTTTTTAAACACAAATAAATAATTATTAATTAAATTACCGGTTAAATTATTATAAATTTTATTGCATATATTATCAATATAATTATACGATTTTTGATATACATAAATATGTATATTATAAATAACAAAGGCGAAATTACTGAACTTATTATTCAACTGTCGCTCGTGTTGCGAACATGTCTCGCACAATAATGTGCGCGATCGTATTCGTATAATCCATTCGCTAATTTTCATTTCTATACCTGATCATGACTCCATTATTCAAAGCTTTCAAGAAGCCAAGTGGCGTAAACAAACGTCCTCGATTTCGCGAAGCCGGACACTTCGGGGCGATAATGGGCGCGTTGTTGTACGAAATGGGCATTACATTAGGCGGTCTGATTTTCAGTTTAATGGAGTTCCGGAAGCGTGAAGTTTAATGGAAACAGTGGGGTCGCAAGCGCAGCTGCGAGCAACTCTGCTTCTCGGGGGGGTTAAAACTGGCTCTTGATAGCCACTCGTGAAAATGCTTCGCGAGAGAAATAAAATGACGCATATATTACGGTAATTGTGTAAGCATATTTTAAACGCCAACAAAGACTGTACGTGATAAATAACGATTTGGATTGTTTGAACAAAATTCGAAACTCTTGAGATAATATTATTCTGCTCAAATTTGGCATCTTTGGCAGTAGGCAAGTATCATCAGCATTAAATATCAAGAATGAGAAAAATATAACAGTTATACAACAGTTTAATTAAGAATCATTAATAAAAAGATCATCTTTTTGAAGTATTAAATTAAAGCATTGAATTAACTTTTTATCGATCTTACATTGCGGATCACGTTTATTCTGCCTTTATATAAAATGGGACAAATCTTTTGGAAGTATTAACAAGTGTAGATTACGTTATCATAAACAAGCAAAAGAAGGTGGGAAGAGATGGTGAGAAAACGCTGAGAGAGAACGAGCTGTGAGAGGGTATATCGGATTAGCGACAGAAGTTTGGTAATTAAGTGGTAAGTGAGGCCGAGTAAGAGAGAGGAATTTAGTAGGCGGGCCATCCCTTTGCCCTATGGGAAAGCGGAAGCAGAGGTGACACGAGTCAAAGAGAGGTCGGAAGCAGAGAGGTGGATGAAGTGGAGTCAGTGAGGGAAGGAAGGTGAAGGTGATAGAACGGACTGTAGGCAGAGATAATTAGCGAGTTAATACGAGTCGTTGCCTTTCGAATTTTGTTACCGCGAGTGATTAGGAAAAAAAATTTTTTTAAATTGTGTTACGTCTCTTTGGTTAGTTAGATTGTTCATGTTCGAACGATGTGTAATCTTCTCGATATCGCGAAAATTTTAATGTTAGTTTGATTTAAGGCTTTACTTTTATTATTCAACTAGAAGCTATTTCTGTTAAAAAATCATTAAAAGCGTACATTTTACATATTCAAGATTTATGTTTAAAGTACTCAAATTTTTTCTATAATAAAATCTTACGAAGTAACTTTTTGAAATAATCTTTGCCATGCTATTTAACTGACTTTCAAGCAAAAAAACTGGGGTAAAGATATCAGTCTGGCAATGAGGCGAAAGATAGTTTCGCGAAGATAGGTTCGATGTTTGCAAGGACGTAAGGTGAAGGAAGGTTGAACCTGTTCGCATGACTTCGGGGAAACAAATATTTGCGTAGAGTCGAGTCTTCTTGCGCGTCGAAACTGTATTTAATATCAGCAATGAAAAAAAAAGGATGTAAAACAGTTCAGCAATTTGAAAACAAAAATTATATCGCTGTCGTAAAATATCGATATAATTTTTTCAAACGAATATTCAAAAGGTGTTTTGTCTGATTATCCCGTTTACGAAGATTACGGAAATATAATTTCAATATTGAATCTTCTGCTCAATATATGAAAATTGGCACAATAAAGCAATGTCCGGTCTTGCATTATCGAGACCATATTATCGATTCGCACAAGAAGAATTATTAGATTGTTTAAAGCGAATGCAATTAATCAGTTTTATGCTGAAACTGATATTGTCAGGGCATTTATTACGAAGCGTATCAATACCGGGGAAATAAATTAATAGCTATTACTGAAGCTTGATGTTCTTTTAATGGGCTGCTGCTGATGCGCGGCTATTTTACTAAACGACAAAAGAGCTCTCGTGAAATCGAAGCATTAAATGCATTAAAGAATGAGATAATATCGAGGTCGCTCGATATTAAAAAAGGGGCAGTCATGTAATTTATATGTTCCTAATTTCTGAAAAAAAATCGTTTAAAAGTAATTCGTACGAGATTCATTTATCTTATTACTTTTTTATTGTTCTACATGTGAGTAGAAAAATTTCCGATTTTTGCACTGTTTTAAGATAATTAATAGCGCAAAGATGGATTTATGTAAAAATTCCATTTTTACCGAGTTAATCAATTTATTTTACACGATGAATTAATGCGGAGAAAATAAAGGATCGCGTACGGGAGGATATGAGATATGTACCTTGGTGAATGTGAGGGTAGCTATCGGCGGTAGACGAGGTAGATTCGGATAATAGAAGCTTCCCGCGGGATGTGCCGGATATCGGGATGTGATCCTGTAAGCGATTCCTTGGGGCTGCGTCGGCCAGTTGGCAGCCGTGAATGTGAAGCCGTTATCCGTGCCCCCATCCAGCGGGTCGAGCTGTTGAAAAAGGAATAGCGGAAGGTGGTTTAAACGGACGCATTTTCCGAGCGTTCGCGGATTTTAGCGGAATGACAGGGCGCGCAGCGATATTCGCGGAGATAGACGCATAAATTATATTTCGCGACCGGCGATGCTCAGACATCTGACTTTCCGGGGCCGATGCAAGCGTGATTTACATTGTGTATACATATTTCGTAACATTATATGACCGTAGTGATTGTCCGAAATGTATTTTATTTAAATGAAACAATAGCTGAATAATTAAACAAGCAATATGGGTGTATAACGCGAAAATAATTTCTTTTCATTATTTTATACTTTTGATTTGAGATTTCAAGTTGTACATATATGACAATTAAAGATAATATTACATCTGTATTTTCGAAAAAGAATAGCTACATTGCATTATACATATATTTTCTGCGCTGCAATTATTTTAATCCTCTCTTTCACGGGAGGAATTTCGATCACATTGATACATTTAAGTTTCATGCGCATTATTACTAAATGTAATTACCTCCACGGTAACAGTATCGACCCAATTGCCCTCGACGCACAATTGGAAGGAATCCACGCCTACGAACCAATCGGGGCTGGGATTGATGCGCGCCATAATGCTAATTAGAGTATGATTGCCGTCCAAAAAGGCCCGAGTGACGCTTGTGCCTTCGCCTTGAGGAATCGGAGGACCCGTGAATGAGTGAAGGCTGTTGGGTGAGTCGCCATCCGCGTCCAATCCATCGGCTCTTCCGGTTTCCACATATAATCTAGCACCCGTAGACAATCTCTCGCCTAATCTATACAGAGTGTAAGTCGAGTCGTGCGTTCGACCTGCAAAAAAAAAACGTAATTGGATCTTTATTAAAACAACTCGTTGAAATACTTACAATCTAGTTATTATATTATATAAATTCGAAATATTTTTAGCACGAAATTTCTACTGATAACGACGACTATTAAGAAAGAAAAAAGAAGTTATTGCAAAACTATTTTCTGAGTTACACGTATGTATAATATATATTTCAGATGAATATTTCATTCGCATTTAAAAAGCGTCTGAAACGGCGTTTGTTTCTCATGTTGCAAAACGCGACGATTATACCGTCGCGTAATCGTTATCCGACTGGCGGCGAAACAACGACCGCGCCGCGATGCAAATGCGTTTAACGATCAATTACCTTTGCCAAGTATCCCGGAAACCGTTCGTCGTTCTGTTTTCGTTGCCCTGGGCGCGCTAAGTAGCGTGCGTTTAAGGCGCTTCGTTAACGGCGGATTCGTTGCTTTTGTCGCGAATAGCCGCGAACGACGGAAGCCGCTCTCGAGATAGCCGAATTAATGCCGAGGGAGAGAAAGGGTGAGAGCATTGAATTTATAGTCAATTAATGTACCGCTCGAGACTCGTTGTCCGCCACTCCGGAAATAATGCGCCACCCCAACAGAAACCTGTGCATACACACACATACACACACACACATGCACGCACATACCGGATCCCATGCGACTCTCGTGCACGAGCACGTCTACAACGCAATCCTGAAAAATCTCTCGGACAATCTTCTCTGACGTGCTTCACCCCGTGTCTCGTCGGTTTCACCCCCTGGACCGGCATTCATCGTCACGCACGATTTAACGTTCGATCGATGGCGAATAAACGACGGCCGGGTGTCCCGTGCCACTGAAAAACTAACGTCGCTTCAGACGGGATTGCGGCCGGTATTGTGCGCAGCTACACATACAGCTTCTACCGTCCGCATTTGCTTCCTTTCTTCAAGCCTTTTTTACTGAGGAGACCCGGAATTTTAATCAGGAATCGACGAAACATCCGGCGCAATTAAACACCACATGCCGTAATTCCCGGAAAACTTAAATACTTTTTGCGATATTGTCGTATTTGAAATAGGAAATAAGTATTAAAATTGATAGAAAGCAACTGCTTCAATCAATTAATTTCTATTTACGATTTCTTATCATTTAAAAATTCAATTAATTAAATTTCCGATTAATTTCCCGTTTACGAAGTTTCCTATATATTTTAGCAAAGAGAAAATTAATTTCGGATTTGTCAAAGGATAATCATCGTGCTGAAATGCTACACGAACTTTCCGAAACATGCTGTATACCAGTCTGCCGTGTTTTTATTGCGTCCAGTTATTCGCCAAAATGTTACGCGGTGCGGTTTCTCATTCCATTCGTGCGAACAAAACCGAAACGTAGCTTTCAAAGGGATCGAAATAGTTCCCGTGCCGGCAGTGCGCGCCGCAGTGGTCCCGCTGAGTTCGAAGGAGACGTAATTAGTTACGAAATTAGTGGAAACCGCGAGGGATATGGACTGCGTGCGTTGGCAGACTTTACGCAGAACACGAAACAGGCTGTTTCGTCGTAATTTCGGCGGAAACTGTCGATCGCGCGTATATGTCATTTCGTCACGAAAATCAAAAACTGAATTTCATCATGGGGAAAATTCGTAACATATATGAATGTCATAAAGAAATGTACTTTGGCAAGTGAATTTCTTCACTTATCGAATACACATAAAGTTATTAGAGGTAACATTTTTACTATTTGTGAAAATGATATAATCAATGTTCGTTGTCTGCTTCGTTACAATTTAATCCGATTCGTGTCTTATTTAAATGAGAACGAAAAGTTTTTTCTTTGATTTAGCATGCATTCTCCGATTTTAGTTAAATCTGAATAAATCCGTCTTTGTACAACCCCCTGAATTAATCCAACAGACTCGGCCAAAGTATTACATTGCCTCGCTCACGAAAGTAGAGCTGAAAAAGCCATTAAAGTCGACTCGCGGCTTAAATTGGCCTCGTTAATTAGATTAATTAGTATTGACCCGTTTCTCACAACCGCTCCAATCTGATCCCCTGTCTGTCTTGCGGCGTCTTTCCTTCCGCCTTGCTCTCGCCCGTCTTGGGCAGACAGAATTTATGAATGAATATTATCCTCGTCTTCTTTGAAGCTCCATCTGTCTTTAACCGGTCGGTAATTTCATCAGAACTTAAATAGACGTTGATTCCATCCCGCAAATTACATTCGCAAACAGTGGCGTTTTTATTAATTTCGCTCGTTTGCCGGCGGCGAAGTCGCCTCTTTTCAACCAGGCACTTCGTTCTTTGCGTGGCCTTATATTATTAATGGTCATTATTCAAGAAAATCTTTGGTGGTGTCTGTTTTATATTTCGCGAATTGCGAAAATAAAAAGCTAGCGGATAAAAACGAAAATAAATATCAAACTCCGTTCTGCTTTTTCTTCTTTCGGTGAGATTTAAAATAATGACAGGTTAACGTTCTCGACTTTGATCTAGATTTGTCCATTTTTCTGACACACGCCATGAAAAATAAGTATATGCGATGTCAATGCGGCACGACTCGCGACTCGAATCGATGAATTCTCGTGATCAATCAAGTATTTTATTATAACTTATACCGACGATTTCCTCCATATACGTGAATTTTCCATTGTTTTGTCGATGCGCTATTCAATAAGAATCCGATCATTGAGAGATACATTCTGGAAATAGCATAGCAAATTTTGTCGTCAATACAAATATTGCGATTTCGCACGAAAGTTCTTTCTGGAATAAATAAGAAATTCGATTCGATCAACCTATCGGAACCGCGCACCTCTGCTATTCGCCTGAGAGATTTCTTTCTTTCTTTTTTTTTTATATTCGACAACCCTTGCGACATATTCGAGCGGTAAGAACGGGGGCTGGAGGAGCTTGGAACGAAGATTGACGACACGACGAACGCGAATGGGCCCGCGGTTCAATTCGCGAAATTCAATGTCGCTGAATTTAAACTTCTAGACGGTGAAATCAATCCACCTAATGATCGTCATAATTCACCCTGTCAAAGAATTCGCGAGGCGACGAGCTGCTTTCTTTCACGATAATTGTATCGTTAAAACGCAATGCGACGAAAATATCATTGTGTATTGCCTTATCAAATATACGAAACACAAATTTCTATTTATTGAACAGAGAAATTTATGCGGGAATTCGAAATTCAACAGTGTATTCAGAAAGTGTATTCCTTTAATAGTCCTTGATTGTACCTTTAATGTATTTCTCGATCATGTTCCGAAGGATCGGATAAAAGACGATAATCGCCTTTCTGAGGATGTTCGTCCAAATTTAAACGAACATTCTAGCGCTTCCACCGTACAGTATTCAATTTTCATGCCGGTACTATATCAAAGTCTACATCTTAAAGCGGTCGAATTCCTGATGAACAAGAGGGATAAGAACAATGTCGGCCAGGGTGGGACCTTTCGGATTGGCTCGTGGCGCTTCATTCAACGAAATCGACCGGGCCGTAATTGAAATGCGAACAAAGCTCGCTCGTGACAATACGCGACCTTTAATTAGTGCCGCGACCGAAGAACGCGCCGACGGCGACGAGCCGACTCCCTCCCGCCCCCCTTTCATGGCTCGTCGCCGAACTTATCCGTTTCCGTAAGTTCGGGAAAGTGCTTAGAGCAAACAAGCGTGATTTGACAAATTGCACGCGATCGCGTCGGGGAGACGGAGTCGTTCATTTCGGTGGCTGAAGAATGGACGTGCGCGTCGACATCGAGATTGATAAATTCGCGGCGGACGATGGCAAGGGGGTAGAAGTCGGATTGATAGTCGCGCGCGGCAAAGGGGCAACGCGAGTTTCGTGCCGGCTGGCTGTAAATGTTTCCAGTTCCTACAGCGGAGGAGCTGGGAAGTCCGGATTATACTCCAGACTGGATGAAAATCCGAGAGTAGGAAGACGCTCTGCCTCTTCCGCCGGCGGTTCTTTGTTCGTCTTCATCTTCCTCGGAATTGGCGTCTGAAACAACTTTTCAACTTCTTCGGAAAGGAGCCGGCGAGAGGCGGCGATCGCGGCCAACCTAGGTCACGAAGAGATTCCGCGCCGGAATAGCGAACGAGTGTGAGACTGTGAGAGAGATTGCTATATTCGAAATTCGATCCATGAAACTCTCGTTCAGATTGTTCGAGCAGCCCATCGAGCGTGTGAAAATTATAGGGGTATCTGGGGTACGGATCTTAACAACGCGCGTGCGATACTCTGCAGTTCTCTTCACTGTAGATCTCTGTTCTCCTTATCCCGTCTTACTCGACGCATTCTAATATTTCTAGGATTTTATTTTATCCACATTGTTATTATCCCTTCGGAAATGCGCTCCCGCGCTTTGTTCCTTGATCGGTCGAATATCCGTTTATGTGCACCCAGAGAGAAATAGAATGGAGAACTTTTACTGCTATCGCCGTGTCTATTTAAGATGATGGGTGTTTCGTACATTTTCGTTGTATTGACTAAGCTGCGTGAGTTATCGTCTTCAGACACTTGTGATTTAACTGTTACAATATACTTTCCCCATGAGGAAAAAAACGCTATTCTTTATTATCTCTGCTACATGTTAAGTAGACTTTAAATTAATAATATCTCGCGGATTTTATTTCAGTTGTATGATTTATAGTTACGAGTATCATTCAAAAGATTTGCTTTTTTAGTATATTTTTTGGTTCTACAGAATTATAGTATTACTAAAAGAAAATTTTATCGCTACTGTTGAAGATTATAGCCACTCTTTATATATTAACGATACGTTTCTCCGTTTGTAGCACGTAAGTTAATGTTAACGCAGACCGTATAATTAAACTTTACGCCGCTAATTATCGTAGCGCTATTTCATTAGATACTGCGCTAGTGCAATTCTGTTATATTTTTCTTCGAGGCTTTGCACCGCGTTTCGCGCTAATATTTCCTTTATTTTATCTGCGCGGTTATCCTTTCGCAGTTATCTCTTTCTCACCTCATTCTTTCAC